AAACAGAGCCTGAGTCTGTATAAAAGTAATAAAACACTAAATTCACAAGCTCTCTCATTGAAACACTTTTGGAAAAGACACCTACTTACTTCTTTGCTTTAAGTTCATATGAAGCCAGAGACAGTAGCTGCTTAGCTTAGCCATAACGACTCTAACTGAACCAAAGGTAACAACATAAATTAACCAGGTTTCTGATTGAACCCTTTTGGAAAAATAACCCTTACTCTTAATAAGAGGATCACAGCCCTCTCTATACATCATTATGAGCTAAAGACATTAGCTGCTTAGCTTAGCATACACACTATAAACAGAGCCTGGTTTTATCCAAAGGTAACAACATAAATTAACTTTGCAAGGTTTCTGATTGAACACTTTTGGAAAATACACTAACTCACTTTCTTGCTGTAAATGAGATCCTGTAAGAAGAGGATGATACCCTTCTCTGTACAGTTCAGATGAAGCTAAAGACAGTAGCTGCTTAGCTTAGCGCTTAGCACTTAGCAATAGCATAACGCATTTTAACTGGTAACAGTTTACACTAACTTCACAAGCTCTCTATTGACAATATTTTTGACAGATTACATCAAATAAATGTAATATGTAAGAGATCTTATCTGTCTACACTGCCTAGCAAGCTAGATGTGTCTCTGTGCTACGCTAAGCTAACTGGCTGCTCATCTCTCAACTCTTAGCAAGAAAGCAAATAAGCACACTTTTAGTTCTGTCTTAAACTCACTATCAGGTCAAAAAAAGCATATTTTAGATTTAATTCTGATGACTCATTTTAAGAAAATAGTATTTTTTGATCTCTCTGTTAATGCTCACAACCTACTCAGAGCAGAAATGTTAATATGTTCGAGTGGATATAAAACTGAGAATAAAGTTATTGCAGTATGTTAAAAAAATATCTGTGAGTTTGAGTGATTTAAGCCAGAATTCTGACTTCAAATGCATGTTTTCACCTGTGGCCATGATCCTTTCCCAACACTAGTCAGAGTCCCACCACCACTTGCTTTCATTCCAGATAGTTCCCATTATTACAAATTCACACTTAGACACTTTGTTTTGCTCCCCCACTCCACTAAACTCCCCTTTATATCCACCCCCTCCCCCAGTCCGAGTCTAGAAGGCACTGGTTTTTATTAAACTTATTTCTCCACATTCTAACATCTGGATTTAAGATGATGTGATCGAGGCAATGAGGATACACAATAAAACAGGTACAGATACACACGGGCCAGCCGGGTAACTTTCTATTTCCCAACGATGCTACCAGTCTTTCTTTGAGCCTGTGTTAGCGTTACAAAGATCTTTCAGTCTGCTGACAGTGGAGGATATCAGATGTTTAAACGTCCACAAGGCTAAACATCCTGACAGTAGAGATATCATATGAGTCAGATATTTTTGAATCGCCTCCAAAAAGTTGTTTTGGACCTCTTACAGACTGCTCGATCTGTGGTGCCTTCACCCATGAAAACAAATGGTCAGAATACAAGTTCGTTGACAAGGAAGCAATATTTGTTTTCCTGCTTATATTGTAAAAATGATGAGTCAATAAAGATTATACCTTTTGTAGAGTGGGACTTCTCTGCAGCTTCACAATACAATTTACTGCAATTTGGATATTTCAATAGTCCATATTGCAGTTTTGATAACATTGAGATTCATTGTGCAAGCCCTACTGTTAACGCTGAGGTGTTCATTTCCCCATAAGTCCACTGAGTTAGAAAGCTGTTTCCTGTGAGTCTTTACTGTAGCCTATATTTGAGTCTTTAAAATCCATGTTTCCAAAGAGGAAGGCGGACCGATTAAAACTCCACTGAATCTCTCCAAAACGTCCTTTACTTCTTGCAATCCAGCAAACTCCTGATTAACACACAGTTGTTCTCCCTCATGTCCATGTGTATCGAGCAGTGGACAGAAGACACACAGGGTTACAAAAGACTGGCTTGTGCACAAAGCGCGGGAGTGTCGGTGTGGTTTGTGACCCTCAGTGTTTGGTTGGATATTTACACAGTGAACGGGGTCGACTCCTACTCTACACACTGAGTTTGGCTGGTACTTAGCGTACGTTGCAATGGTTTACTGTGGTGATAGTTAGAAAAAACATCTACGTCCTCCTGCGACTAAGTAGCTCACTAAAGTGTCTATTCTATTAGCATCTGAGGCGCAAAAAGCACTGAAAGCAATGATATGAATTTGAGGGAAAGGGTTTTTCTGTCTCCCATGGCTTGGTCTGGAGTCGGTTTGTAGAACATTAGCTCGTCTTTACACCTTTCAGATTAGTTCTGTGTGGTTTCAAACCCTGACATGTTGAGTTTCAAAGGTAAACCTAGTTTACTACTTTCTTGCTGTAAGTTAGATAAGAGGTTGATATGCCTCTCTGTACAGTATACATGAAGCTAGCTGCTTAGCTTAGCATAAAGACTCCAAACCGAGCCTTGCTCAGCCCAAAGGAAACATATAAACCAACATAGCAAACTCTAAAGAACACGTGTTTGAGGTGTAAGAGAGTTTACTTTTGAACAGAGCTAGCTGTTTTCAGTCTTTGTGCTAAGCTAAGCTAACTGGCTTTTCTCAACTCTCAGCACTTTCATTTAGATGTCTTTATCTCACCATCAGGTCTAACAAGGCTTATTTTAGACTGAGCTCTGATGACTTGGTTAGAACAAATCAACCCCTTTTACCTCAAACTAGGGCAGTAGTCACTGTAACGCATGAAAAATCACAAAAAATAATCTTTTGTCGATGCTCACAACCTCCTCAGAGCAGAAATGTTAAAATGTCAACTGATAAAAAAAAACGATATTAACAACATGTCTGCCGTTTGCAGTGCATTTCTGCATGAAGATAAAATACTGTACAATATGTCGTTAGCATGAGCTCGTCTTTACACGCTACCTGCAATGACGCTGACTTTTTTCTTTGTATGCAAAAAGGTGAAGTTTTATAATACAGCGGAAATTATATCTTCTGTTCCTTTGAACGAATATTATTTGTGTTATTTATCTTCTTTGTCAACACGCCCCCAGCTGATAAAAAAATAAAAGTCACATAGATTGGACCACTTTGTTTTTCTCTCCCTTATCACTGCTGCGAGCAGACCGTTATTCACACAGGACACACCAAGCAAACAAAAGAACATTACAATGAAAGGAATCTGTGAGTCCTGGTATTTGTGTCCAAGTTAAAAGGTTCCCTGTTAAAAATGAAATGTAAGTCACAGGATAGTGTCACTCAATCGAGGGAAAAACACAACGAATAAGAGCTAAAAATGGCTGCTGTCTTTGCCTCTACATTGAGACAAATCAACGAGCTCCAGAGTGGCAGTAGAGACTTCATCCCCTCCTCTTCCTCTCGCTGCTCCTCCTCCTCCTCCTCCTCCTCCTCCTCCTCTTCACTTTGAAATCTGTGGATCTCCCCAGAGCTTTGGAATGGATTGGATAAAAATAAAAACAACTTTTAAAAAAAAGTCTCTGTGTGAAAGTCTCCACCTTTTTTCTGGACGTTTGTAGTAGGATTTGATAAAGAGCAAGATGTCAAAGTTCACATCTCTTAGTCCCCCACGATCTTGTGTCTGTGTGTGTGTGTGTGTGTGTGTGTGTGTGTGTCTGCTACTTGAAGACATAGTTGATCAGGACCTGAAGGAGGATGAGGAAAACGATGATGACGTAGTCGCGCTGTTGGAGGAACGAAGCGCTCTCCACCCGGCCGGCTGCACGGCTCCGCAGAACGCTGATGTTCCTGCAGAAACACAGGAGTTATATCCAGTATATATACAGTACATATACAGTACATATCCAGTATATATACAGTACATATCCAGTATATATACAGTACATATCCAGTATATATACAGTTACATATTCAGTATATATACAGTACATATCCAGTATATATACAGTACATATCCATTATATATACAGTACATATCCATTATATATACAGTACATATTCAGTATATATACAGTACATATCCATTATATATACAGTACATATCCAGTATATATACAGTATATATACAGTACATATCCAGTATATATACAGTATATATACAGTACATATCCAGTATATATACAGTTACATATTCAGTATATATACAGTAGATATCCAGTATATATACAGTACATATCCATTATATATACAGTACATATCCATTATATATACAGTACATATCCAGTACATATCCAGTACATATCCAGTATATATACAGTATATATACAGTACATATCCAGTATATATCCAGTATATATACAGTACATATCCAGTATATATACAGTACATATCCATTATATATACAGTACATATCCAGTACATATCCAGTACATATCCAGTATATATACAGTATATATACAGTACATATCCAGTATATATCCAGTATATATACAGTACATATCCAGTATATATACAGTATATATACAGTACATATCCAGTATATATACAGTTACATATTCAGTATATATACAGTAGATATCCAGTATATATACAGTACATATCCATTATATATACAGTACATATTCAGTATATATACAGTACATATCCATTATATATACAGTACATATACAGTATATATACAGTACATATCCAGTACATATACAGTACATATCCAGTACATATCCAGTATATATACAGTATATATACAGTTACATATCCAGTATACATCCAGTATATATACAGCTACATATCCAGTATATATAGTTACATATCCAGTATATATACAGTACATATCCAGTATATATAGTTACATATCCAGTATATATCCAGTTACATATCCAGTATACATCCAGTTACATATCCAGTATATATACAGCTACATATCCAGTATATATAGTTACATATCCAGTATATATACAGTACATATCCAGTATATATACAGTTACATATCCTGTATATATACAGTTACATATCCAGTATATATACAGTTACATATCCAGTATATATACAGTTACATATAAAGTATATATACAGTACATATACAGTTACATATACAGTACATATACAGTATATATACAGTTACATATAAAGTATATATACAGTACATATACAGTTACATATACAGTACATATACAGTTACATATACAGTACATATCCAGTATATATACAGTACATATCCAGTATATATATATACAGTTACATATAAAGTATATATACAGTACATATACAGTTACATATACAGTACATATACAGTTACATATACAGTACATATCCAGTATATATACAGTACATATCCAGTATATATATATACAGTTACATATAAAGTATATATACAGTACATATACAGTTACATATACTGTATATATCCAGTTACATATACAGTACATATACAGTATATATACAGTTACATATAAAGTATATATACAGTACATATACAGTTACATATACAGTACATATACAGTTACATATACAGTACATATCCAGTATATATACAGTACATATCCAGTATATATATATACAGTTACATATAAAGTATATATACAGTACATATACAGTGACATATACAGTACATATACAGTTACATATACAGTATATACAGTTACATATACTGTATATACAGTATATATAAAGCACATATACAGCAGTGTTTCTCAAACTTTCTATAACCATATAACAAATTACAGCCTAATAATGACAGCTTAACGTGACCTTCTCTATATCGCCTCGTTCACACATTAAATCAACAACGCAAATACAACTACAAGCATTTCGTGATTTAAAATGCTCAGGTTTTACACCTCATATGAAATGTAAATTACATGTATTAGTCCGAGCCAACAGACCGTCACAGATCGTTTGCCAATGAGAGATATGCAACATACACCGCATGTCGTACGACACAAACCTCCGCTGTGGATTTTCAAAATACAATACAGTAAAACTATGGTTTCAGGCCCAAATTGAACATGAATTCAACATTAAACACAAGTTAAATATTTACACTGTTCCATTTATTTAGCATTGTTTATGCTCTCATTGACTGCGTGTCTTTGTTGCAACCTATTATAGTCATTTTTAAACAATTTGAGAAACACTTTGCATTTATTTATTTCAAATGTGACATTTTACCCGGACCCCACTTTGAGAAACACTGACATACAGTATATATATAGAGTTATATATGCTCGTGGTCCCACCTGTTAATGTCCTCCTGCGTCTTCTTTATGGTTTCAATGGCACTTTGAAGTTCACTGAGGTCCGCTCCCTTTTTCCTCAGTCGACTGTTATGCTTGCTTTTGTGTCCTGAAAGTGTGTGTACAACATGTTAAATACCACACACAGAAAGCACGTTTTCATTCATTACACATGTGCCACGGTACAAAACAATCAGTTTTAAGAATATAAGATTTGAGTTTCTCCTTTCTTTTAAAAGTCCTGTAGTATTTTGGACTTTTTATTTAAGTTCTCCAGAATATTTTATATTGTTTTGTTTATATTTGATATAATATTTTTCATTTTATTTGTAATTGTTCATTCTCCATTCCACTTTTTAAAGTATTTTAATGTCTGAAAACACTTCTGCTTCTGCAACGAAGTAATTTCCCAAAATGGGATCAATAAAGTATCTTTCTATCATTTAGTTTTTAACCTAACCACCAGCAGGGGGCGCTGTTTACCAGCTCAGTGAGAGACAAGTCTGTGCTTGGCAGAACGTTTTAAAGTCTTCTGTTACAAGATATGTGAATTGGTTTTGTTTTAATGCATGTTTGTACTTTTAAAATGTAGTAAATTGCTCCACACTAAACAAAGAGGGATATGTAGGCTTTACATTTTCGTGTAAATGCAGAGGTGAAGTAGTGGAGTACAAATACTTCGTTACTGTACTTAAGTACATGTTTCTGTACTTTCTACTTCTTACATGTTGAACTCAAATACCTGTACTTTCTACTTCTTACATGTTGAACTCAAATACCTGTACTTTCTACTTCTTACATGTTGAACACAAATACCTGTACTTTCTACTTCTTACATGTTGAACTCAAATACCTGTACTTTCTACTTCTTACATGTTGAACTCAAATACCTGTACTTTCTACTTCTTACATGTTGAACTCAAATACCTGTATTTTCTACTTCTTACATGTTGAACTCAAATACCTGTATTTTCTACTTCTCACATGTTGAACTCAAATACCTGTACTTTCTACTTCTTACATGTTGAACTCAAATACCTGTACTTTCTACTTCTTCCATGTTGAACACAAATACCTGTACTTTCTACTTCTTACATGTTGAACTCAAATACCTGTACTTTCTACTTCTTACATGTTGAACTCAAATACCTGTACTTTCTACTTCTTACATGTTGAACTCAAATACCTGTATTTTCTACTTCTCACATGTTGAACTCAAATACCTGTACTTTCTACTTCTTACATGTTGAACTCAAATACCTGTACTTTCTACTTCTCACATGTTGAACTCAAATACCTGTACTTTCTACTTCTTACATGTTGAACTCAAATACCTGTACTTTCTACTTCTTACATGTTGAACTCAAATACCTGTACTTTCTACTTCTCACATGTTGAACTCAAATACCTGTACTTTCTACTTCTTACATGTTGAACTCAAATACCTGTACTTTCTACTTCTTACATGTTGAACTCAAATACCTGTACTTTCTACTTCTCACATGTTGAACTCAAATACCTGTATTTTCTACTTCTTACATGTTGAACTCAAATACCTGTACTTTCTACTTCTTACATGTTGAACACAAATACCTGTACTTTCTACTTCTTACATGTTGAACTCAAATACCTGTACTTTCTACTTCTTACATGTTGAACTCAAATACCTGTACTTTCTACTTCTTACATGTTGAACTCAAATACCTGTACTTTCTACTTCTTACATGTTGAACTCAAATACCTGTATTTTCTACTTCTCACATGTTGAACTCAAATACCTGTACTTTCTACTTCTTACATGTTGAACTCAAATACCTGTATTTTCTACTTCTTACATGTTGAACTCAAATACCTGTATTTTCTACTTCTCACATGTTGAACCCAAATACCTGTACTTTCTACTTCTTACATGTTGAACCCCAAATACCTGTACTTTCTACTTCTTACATGTTGAACTCAAATACCTGTACTTTCTACTTCTTACATGTTGAACTCAAATACCTGTATTTTCTACTTCTTACATGTTGAACTCAAATACCTGTACTTTCTACTTCTTACATGTTGAACTCAAATACCTGTATTTTCTACTTCTTACATGTTGAACACAAATACCTGTACTTTCTACTTCTTACATGTTGAACTCAAATACCTGTATTTTCTACTTCTTACATGTTGAACACAAATACCTGTACTTTCTACTTCTTACATGTTGAACTCAAATACCTGTATTTTCTACTTCTTACATGTTGAACTCAAATACCTGTATTTTCTACTTCTCACATGTTGAACCCAAATACCTGTACTTTCTACTTCTTACATGTTGAACCCAAATACCTGTACTTTCTACTTCTTACATGTTGAACTCAAATACCTGTACTTTCTACTTCTTACATGTTGAACTCAAATACCTGTATTTTCTACTTCTTACATGTTGAACTCAAATACCTGTACTTTCTACTTCTTACATGTTGAACTCAAATACCTGTATTTTCTACTTCTTACATGTTGAACACAAATACCTGTACTTTCTACTTCTTACATGTTGAACTCAAATACTTGTACTTTCTACTTCTCTCATTTTCCAAACAGCTGGTTCCTTTAGTCTGAATGTGTGTTTGATGCGTGATCATTATTCTTTAGAGTCATTGCGTGCCTATTGATTTGAACACGATCCGTGTATCCATCATTTCCTGGTCTTCTCTAAAGAAGAGGGACCAATGGAAACGTTGTCATGTTGCCGTTGTTCAGCATGGAAACATTCATTAGCTAACAATGACATTATTGTTCTATTAATATAAAGGGAGGTCAGGTACTCTTTAAAGCAGCTGCTAGTTATGGGTACTTTTTACTGAAGGACATTTCAAAGTTCTTTACTTTGACTTGAGTAAAGAAGTTTAGTCAGTACTTCTACTTTCACCAGAGTATTTTTAAACACGAGTATCTGTACTTCTACTTGAGTAAAGGATGTGTGTACTTTTGCCATCTCTGTGTAAATGTGTACGAAGACTCACGTTCGCTGCCAGACGAGTCCTGGCGGTCGGGTTCAGGAGAGGAACATCCGCTCTCCGGCTTCTTGGGTTTATCGCTCTTGTGTTTCCTCTTTGGCACCGTCACCTACACAACGATACACACAAAAACACACAAACAGGTCAAACACACAGGCCACACACACACAACAACCAAATATGAGACACACAGAAAACACATTGAAGCAACCGCACAAGGACAGTAAACACAAACAGAATTTTGCATACACAACAATACAACAAAAGGGTGTTTTGATGCAACAACAAAAACACTTTAACAGGAACATGCTGGTCGGCATTGGCACGCAAATGAAGGTGCAAGGCATGCTGGGACATCAGGGATCCATTTAAATCATAATCACTCATAACTCCTTCAGTTCAACAGGGTTACTACAGCTCTTCTGCTTCTTAATGCTTTATTTTTTATTCGATGCAATTTGGAACATTTAGAAAGATTGCAGATCTGCCCGACAACAACAAGACGGTTAAAGGTGCAAAGACGAAAGATTATTGTGGTCGGCATTTATCCATATTATCACGTAATCTATAGAAGATTTAAAAAGAAACCAACAGTCACAATAATGCTTTCAGTGTACTGTATCTTTAACCTTCACATTTTGTATTTAGAAAATAATACACACTTGAAATAAACAGTGTAGGGTTGATGAAAGTGAAGTCAAAACTTGAGTCTGTTCTACAAGAATCTACAAAAGCCTGCACAACGAACACAAGTGAAAGGATTTAAAAGGCTGTAAAATCTCATTTAACCTCAAAATCTGTAAATAACACTTGTTTATAAATGTTTTATTGTTTTTTTTAATTCTCCTTACTAGAGGCCTGTACTACGAAGCCGGTTCAACCTAACCTGGATATGTTTGAGTTAGCCGGTTGGCCTAATCCAAAACATACGCGCTCTCGCTAAACTGTACTACGACGCAGGTTATCAAGTGGATCGCTCAAGCAGATATTTAAGTAAGCTTTCTTAACGCTAATGTTATAATAGTCAGATTGCTCTGAAGATGGAGGTGATATTCTATTAATGTTCACGTTCACACAGTCGGTGATTTTTGCCGGCCGTCTTTCCTGCGACGGCAGCTTTTCTGTATTTCCTTTCTCCTGTAATATGACTTGATCGCTTTAAACTCCGCACATTGAGCTCTGATTGGTCAGCAGGCGGTGCTTTCACTGAGTTGAGCTCTTAGCCTGCAACCTAACCTGCTCCGGAGCAGGTTAGGTTGCAGGCTAGCCGCTCAGTATAAGTTACCATGGAGATCTAGCCTGCTAAAAAGAGAACCAGCTTCGTAGGACACTTCTAATAAAAAATCTATCCCTCCCTCCATCCATCCATCCCTCCATCCCTCCATCCCTCCATCCCTCCCTCTCTCTCTCCCTCCCTCCATCCATCCATCCATCCCTCCCTCCATCCATCCCTCCATCCATCCATCCATCCATCCATCCCTCCATCCATCCATCCATCCATCCATCCATCCATCCATCCCTCCCATCCATCCATCCCTCCATCCATCCATCTTCTCCCGCTTATCCGTGGTCGGGTCGCGGGGGTAGCAGTTCCAGCAGAGAGCCCCAAACTTTCTTTTCCCTGGCGACATCAACCAGCTCTGACTGGGGGATCCCAAGGCGCTCCCAGGCCAGCGAAGAGATATAATCCCTCCACCTGGTCCTAGGTCTACCCCTCGGTCTCCTCCCAGCTGGACGTGCCTGGAACACCTCCCTAGGGAGGCGCCCAGGTGGCATCCTTACTAGGTGCCCGAACCACCTCAACTGGCTCCTTTCGAAACGAAGGAGGATAAATAAAATCCAGTTAATTGAATCTGCTGAGATTTTAAAAGAGCTTTGGTTTAGAGCAGGGGTGCCCAATACGTCCGACTGGTCTATCGCAACGGTAGTGTGGTAGATCGCATGGCATTGAAAAAATAAATAATTAGCTTATCATCCATCCTTACTTACATCCATCCATACTTACTATGGCATTTGCCACTTGATTGATGTACAGGTAAGCCAGTCTGATATCTCATATCTTCGAACACGCAGTTCACCACGCATGCGCGGCTGATGACCTAGTTAGCCTTCCACTGTATACAATTCTACTAAAGAAAGGGTATAAATTGACGTAATGACCAAACATTTACTGAGTTGTATTGTGCCATACGGGTCCATGCAGTTATGCAAGGTACACCAACACAAGGTATACTCAGTATATATATATAAATAGCGTTTTTAATGTAGGTAGATCATTCTGACTCGGTCATTTTAAAAGTAGCTCCCGAGCTGAAAAAGTGTGGGCACCCCTGGTTTAGAGAATTGATTTCATGTTTAAAATGAACATGTCTGCGCTTAGTCTGCCCAGCAGTGTCAGTGTATTGTGTGCATGCTTTATTTATTGTAATGACTATTGCAAGTTGTCTAATGCATCTTTCTTGTCTTCAAAGGTTTTTCACCTAAAAGACCCATTCGGCAACTAAATGGAAATTTGTTTTCAAGTCAACTATTGACATAAAAGACTGAAAAAGTAACCGTTGCTGTTTCACTGGAGTGGAATCCTGTTTCAAAGTCCAGTCGATGTTTCGAGTCCCTTTCAACTGCACCAAAATCAGAGAAGACTTGACAACAAATAAAGATTATTATTATTTCTCAGGCAACAAAAGGAAATATCACCTACGGCCTTTAGCATGCACTTAGCATAACCTTCCCTCCCATACAGAGAGAACAGCACGTGCAAGGGGAGAAACAACAGAGACACAAAAGTATAAGGAGGTGACAACGGCACACAGAGAAGAAGCGGCAATGAAGACGGTGCACCGAATGCTGCGTGGAAGGTGGCTGAGGCGGTGAGCTGTTTTATTTCGATCGGGACGACCTACCTGGCACTTGCAATTGTCCCTCCGCGGCCCCTGGTTACTCAGACTAATAAGACTGCCAGAACGTACCATAGGGGTGCGGTGTCGGACCTTGGTCTGGATGCAGCCGTCTTTCTCAAACTGGATCAAGTCGTTGAGCGGATCCCACGGCCTCGTGCTGAGGGAGAGGAGACAGAGAGGAGGGAGAATAAAGTGAGACGGACACATGGGAGAGGAGAGGTGTAGAGAAAGAGAAGGAGAGTGGGAGATTTAGAAACAAAAATAGGGTGAAAAATGTTGGGAAAATACTGAATGTCCTCTTCCAGTCTGAGAGTAACGTGATAACAAAGGTATCAACTGCAGCTGTGAACATGACAGGATGTGTGATTACCCAGAAGAGCATCAGGACTGATTGAGGCATATGATAGCTATGTGATTAACATGATGATTCAGCCTCTATGGAGAGAGACATCAAGCATGCTCATTTCTGACGTGGAGCTAATCTGAAGTAAACATTGAATACTGCTTTCTACTCCTCCATCTTGTGACTGTGTAACTCCCTCTCTTGGATATCAGCATGTGAAGGACAGCATGTGAAGGAACTAGTTGATGCTCTGTATGTGATGACTACTTCCATTCTGGAGAGGATCACAGATACATGGATCCTGAGATTGAAGCTCAAGCCGGTGACTAAAGGGTAATAACTCTAAGCCTGATTTTCTTTAAAGCAGCAGAGGAGTCACTCACTCGGCATATCTGTAATGCCACTCTCCGGTGACGGGGTCCTGCTCGAACAGCGCGGGGTTCCATTCTTCACATTTAGCTTTCCGCTCGCGCGCAGACTTCCTCTGGGCTTCCTCCAGGAAGAACTTCTCGTTGGTGGCCTCCGTCTGGTCCTTGTTGTTGACGGCCCGAGTCACATGCTGCCACAGTCTGAGGATTATAAAAGGAACCAGAGTCATGAAGTTAATGATTATATGATAATTTGACTTTTAAAGGATCAAACAGTTGTGATTTTAAGTCCATGTTCACCTCTCTGATTCAGATTCTCCTTGTTCTTCGGGGGGAACGGTGCATCGAGTGAGTCGACTCTGTCTCAGCTCGGTCGTTGGATTCCAGAAAGTTTCCACGGTCCCCGTCTTCTTGTCGTTGATGAAGATCTCGCTGTCCTTTAAAGGGGAAAGTCACAAAGGGCTCATTACTTAGCTGAAGACATTGAAGCAGTTTTTCTGTATATAACGGTGGGTTCAGAGCTTCTTCTATTTGACACTGATAGCATTCACTTCACTATAGATCAGTGCTTCTCAAAGTGTGGTCCGCGGACCACTGGTGGTCCGTGAGCGCCCCCTAGTGGTCCGTGAGTATATAGGTAAAATATCACATTTGAAATAAATAAATACATTTAAGTTTTCCGCACTCTCGCGGGAATATCTCCGCGATGGAGCGAGCTTAAGTTTCGATTGCATGATATAGCCCAGCGCAGCACCTTGATCACACATGTTGCCACTTGTTTGTACCATTTTCAGGCGATTTGTAATCTGTTCTAGAAAAACTATGTGGTTTTTGATATTTGTGGAGTTAGGTCCGCGAGTGTTTTTTTATAGGTTAAGTCCTTGGTATGAAAAAGTTTGAGAAACACTGCTCTAGATGCTAGGGGTGTAACGGTATCCGTATTCGTCCCGTACCGTCACGGTTCGGACGTCACGGTTCGGACGTCACGGTTCGGCACACGCAGTCACACGACGAATACGCCTTTTTTTTACGAGTGGGAAAAAAGTCTGTCATTCAGGGCAGTATCCACTACACTATATAAAATCCAGGGGGCGGTATTGCGCCTAGAAGCTGTTTGCCAGCCGCCCTTAACAAAACGAACAAAATACAAGAAGAAGAAAAGTTAGTATGGCGATTTCAGATAACACACAGGAGCTAGAACCCACCTGCTTCTTCTAAATCAGCTGTGTGGGAACATTTCGGGTTCCCTGTGGACTAAATAACGATGGCGTGTGCGAGTGGTGGATCGGACGAGGTATGCTAATGGTAACACACGCCAAACATGCTAAATCATATCAGCAGGCATCACCCAGATTTGCCAATCACCGGAGCGAAAGACAACAGCAGTTCAGCAGCTGATCTCCGCTGTTTTTAAGAAGCCAAGAGATATGAGAGCCGAGACCAAAATAAATAACGGAAGCTTTTGGCATATGTTTTTCAACAACTTTGCGCTCTTGAAACACTTTCTTATCATTTATGATGTAATATCGAAGCTGTCACTCCGCTTTCTTTGCCGGTCACAGCCCCACTGCCCCATCTGAACACACACCCACACAACGAGACCAGTCAAGTCCGTTTGAGATGATGTACTCATCTAAAACTTGAAAAATGTCTCTTCCTGTGGTCCTACCTTCCAGTGCTTTGCAAAATAATATTTCCCCAACAAAGTTGTCTTCTGAAATAAATCTGATGTATGCTAGCAATTCTGCGACATTTGCTACATCCGTGCTCTCGTCCAGCTGCAGAGCGAAACATTCACTAGCTCTCACTTGCTCCAAAAGCTGAGCAGATTTTCACTCTCAGTAGCGGCAGCTCAATTCTGATTGGCTTGAAGGGCGGTCGTGTGATTCAAAAACTAAAAATATAAAAAGATTGGCATCAAAGGACACATAGATTGATAGATATGCAGTTATTAATAACATTAAAAAAAACAAAAAAAACTGTTTCCCTCAAACTTTGAGTGACCCCCCTGGCGCCCCCTAGCGGCCCCCCGGGGGGTCGGGGCCCCCACTTTGTAAAACACTGGTCTAACTAACCTTATTTAACAGAAAATAAAATGGCAACAACAGGGCTTGGGAGCAGTGGTCGCGTTAACCGAATACCCCCCCCCCCCGTCAGCGCGAGTGAGTGACGAGTTGTGTACAGACTGAATTATTAAAAAATAATTCAGACTTTTAGTCGACTAAAACTTGACTAAATAAAAACAGGATGTAGGTGACTAAATATGACTAAAACTAAAAGGGAAATTTAACACAGGACTAAGACTAAAACTAAATAAAAAAATAGCTGACGAAATTAACACTACTCTATACAAGACTCAAAACAAAGACAGTTGACTGGAACAATAGCTAATAGATACATGTATCTTTAAGAATATAATAACATGAAGACATACCCCTAGCCTTTTATTTTGTATTGCCTTGCTGGCCTTTTGTTACATGATTGTAATAGCCAGCATGTTATTGCCATGTATAATGTGATGATAAAGATTTAAATTACCATTTTTTAAAATTATATAACGAATAGTCGTCAGAATAATGTGTGCAAAGTGTCTCTTACCCAGTGTCCCTCGAGCGTGGCCAACACCTCTTTCCCCAGCTTGATCTTCCCACAGATCTGGTTGACACAGTCACTGCTACCCAGGAAAGGCTGGAGGAGAGAAGGGAAGGAATAAAGGAGGGGAGGGAGGGAGGAAAGCAAGAGGGTAAAGGGAGGAGGAGGGGAGGAGAGGAGTGTACATAGAAGACATGGGAGGGGGATTTAAAGAAGGGTAAAGGCAGGAGAGATACACATTCAGTTTACTTCCTGTTGTTCCTATGGAGAAAAACAATAGGCGCTTTCACACCGGAGTACTTTTCCCAGTATAGTTCCGATAGTTCTTGAAATGTTGCGTTCACACCAAAATAATCCGGAACTAGAACTTAGTTCACGAGAACCTTTCCACCCCCTTTTCAGTCCCTGCTAGAGAGCAGGTACTTTCGTGGGAGAAAAAGGTTCCCATTTCTGATTGGCTGGGCGGATTGCAAAGCACGCCCCGTAAAACTCGGAAAAGTTTTGTGAAGCCGCCATTTTATTTGCTGGCATTAGCATTATTAGCATTAGCATTTGCCCCGCGCACCATCGGAGAGAGACTAACTTATGGCAACACAAAAAAAACATGGGAGATGAGGAGATGAGGAGGTGTCGGCGTTCTGGCGATTTGCCCAAGCCCCCAGGAAGTGCGCCGGACTCTGATGAAAATATTCGTTGTGTCCAAACGGCGGTACTACAATTTCCGTATCGGTCCGTGACGTCACTGGGCCCAGAAAGACTTTTCCCCATTGACTAACATGGGGAAAGAGACGTCTGTAAATCAGCGGATAATTTTTTTTAAAAGTAAATAAACTACCCAGCATGAACTATGTTTTAGCCCTTATTCGAATCATTCGGTCCTTAAAGTTGTGAAATGCACTGAAAGCCGAATCTAGATTTATTTTCTGTCTCCATTCATTCTACTGAGCCGAGAGTGGGAGCTCGGGGGGCGGGGCTTAAAGGGCGCATGCTCTGTGAGCGCACATACGGGTTCTTCTGCTCTGAAAGCTAGGCATGCTGGGTAATCTGTGACGTTTCGCTCTCTCAAAAGTTGGGCCATTTTGTCATCATACGCCAATGAGCAGCTCTCATAGGAAATAACGAGACCCCGCCTCCCACGCTGTATCCAGTTCTTATTATACATCCATGGATTTACTCGGAAGGCTTCAGTAGAAGCTGCTGGGAGTCCCAGCAGCTTCTACTGAAGCCAGTCCCAAACTCCGGGGACTTCCGGCCGGGGACTTCGGGTGGCAGTATACGCCGTGAAGTTGTTTGCGGCCTGCCAGTAAACCCAAAGCAGAAGAAGAAGAAGTGACGTCAGCGGCTTCATTTGCCTAATCCTCCCCCAGGGACTTATTCCGGTGTGAACGCGATCTGTACTTAGTTCATGAGAACTAAAGAGTTCTGATGAACTAAGTAATGGGAACTGAGTACGGCAAAGTACTTGGTGTGAAAGCGCCTAATGTGTGACTTGTCTTGTTTAATCTACATCTGTGCGTCTGTAGTCATTTGAAACAGGATGGTAGTTTGTTTCCTGTTTAAATGCATAAGGCTAATGGAGCGGAGGTGAACAAGAGGCTGCAGTTCAATCATTCAATAACAAGAGAAATTGAACTTCCAATTTAACTTGTGGAAGTAAAGAGCTCTTGTGGTGTTTTAAATGGAAATGTTGTGATCCCCTGGTGGCTTTGTGTGAAGTGTACCTGTCGCTTGTTTAGGAAAATGGGATGTTTTTCAGGAGGGAGGAGGATTGGTATGGTGGAGATGGCGTGGTGGGGTCACACATTCAGAAAAGTCATGTGAGAAACTGTTTTTTACTGCATCTATATCGGCTTGTTCACTCAGCTAGAGCTACAATGATTAGATACATACTGATAATCGATTAATTGTTAGTCATTCTTTATGCAGGAATGTCTGAAAAGTTTCATGATTATGGAGATTTGCTGCATTTCTCTGCATTTCTATTATATTCAAGTCATTTATTTGGGTTGTGAACCAACAAAACAAGACGTTTACAAGACCTTAAGAAACTAGAGTTGAGATTATAAATTGTTTTCTTACATTTCACAGAACATAGACAATACATCTCGATAATGAAAATATGTGTTACTTGCAGCCAGAATATCTCAATCTTTATTTATCTATATAGCACTTTTAAAACGACCTCAGTTGACCAAAGTGCTGTACAGGGAATACATACAATATCAAATAACACAATAGGAGTAAAACAATAATTTAAAACATGATAAAAAATACAATAACTAGATTTTAAAACGTTATGTTCAACTAGTATTAAAAGCTGAGAATAGGTTCTTCTCTATCAAAGTAAGACTGAAATGATCAATAAATACAGCCATACCTTCAGTTTGAATTCGAGCTGAGCGCTGTAGCCTGTTTTCTCGCAGGCGATGGTGATCTGGCCGCCGAGCTCCAGAGTCATGGTGCCGTACAGGATGCCTAACGAGAGAAAACAAAACCGTTTAGTGATTAAAGATCCCCTAATATACTGTTCTTCATCAATATATTACAGGTCTCAGATATATACAGAACCTGTCTCTGATTGGCTGAAACACCAAACAGATCATTGCAGTATTACCCATAATCCCCTCTGTTTCAGCCCTGTTTCCAAAGTGCTGATTCTCTGTCTGTTACTTTAGATGAAAATAAGGAGCCCCTCCCCACGCCCCTCTGAGAGACATTTGGTTACAAAGAACTCAATGGAGCTCTAGGAGGAGATTCAGGTGATAAGGGGGGGGGGGGGGGGTTACCTTGGTTGCTGATTGGCTCATGGTTACACAAGACAAAACATCGTTATGACATCATCAAGTGGCCAAAATCTGATCAGCTCATTTTCAGACAGGTTTTTATAGAAATGGATCAAAAAGAGAGAATCTTTGTTCCTGAAACTTTCAGAGTCTCTTTCCAGAGAGGAGACACATGTTGATGTAGAAGAGACATGAAGAAGAGGGGACACATGTTGATGTAGAAGAGACATGAAGAAGAGGGGACACATGTTGATGTAGAAGAGACATGAAGAAGAGGGGACACATGTTGATGTAGAAGAGACATGAAGAAGAGGGGACACATGTTGATGTAGAAGAGACGTGAAGAAGAGGGGACACATGTTGATGTAGAAGAGACATGAAGAAGAGGGGACACATGTTGATGTAGAAGAGACATGAAGAAGAGGGGACACATGTTGATGTAGAAGAGACATGAAGAAGAGGGGACACATGTTGATGTAGGAGAGACATGAAGAAGAGGGGACACATGTTGATGTAGAAGAGACATGCAGAAGAGGGGACACATGTTGATGTAGGAGAGACATGAAGAAGATATAATGGAAGTTATAGCCGGATAATTAAAATGTTTGAGTTTCTGCCCAATCAACTCTGAGGTTTTGTCCTCTTTTAATCAAATCAAATGAAATCAAACTTTATTTGTGTCGCCCAATATCACAACACACGTTTGTCTCCGTTGGCTTTACAGATGAAAAACAAACAACAACATTGTGTATGATGGAGTTGTGTAAAAATGATAAAATAAAATAAAATAAGATACAAAAAAAGACAATAAAAAGACATAAAACATTCAAATTAATTACCATTAAAATAAAAATAAAATGAATACCATCAAATGTAAAGACAGAGATACATGAACTGAGGCGAGGTGGAGGATTGATAGGAGAATAATTAAATAATCTTCTATCAGGTACATCATAATAATAATAATAATAATAATGCATTTTATTTATAGAGCGCTTTTCTTGAAACTCAAACACACTTAAAAATATATAAAACACAACATTAACTTCAGATTAAAAGCATCAATCTACGACCTCTGACCTTTACAGTGAGCGTAGGGCATGTTCATCACGTAGTCCTCTCCTCGGTTGAGAAAATTGAGCCGAGCCTCCCCGTCCAATATGGCCGACAGGGAGTTTCCTAAAAACGTGAACAGCAGCAGTCAGAAGATAAATTATACAATATCAGCGCAATAAATACTCTGCAGGACGTCAAGAATTGCATCAACACCGTGAAAATTAGCGATCACAGTATTTTATTTACTTATAAAGGTGGCTGTGTGTGACGTTAGTGAGATTTGAGTGTACCGTAGAACTTGGATTTAGCGAGGATGCTTCCACTGAGGCAGAATCCGTCCTTCCTGTTGCTGACGTAGAACGCCGAAACAGGAGGATGATGGGATACCTGAAGGAAAAACACATTATTTAGTTAGCTCGAAGGCTACTAGGGAAGATACATGGGGACACATTGGATTTCAATTCAGCTAAAACTACAACAACTTCCCCCAGATAATGTATTATGGAAGCCTAGGGCTGTCCCGAATACCATTTTTCGGGCTCCGGATATTCGGTAGTAATCAGCAGTTCTACAGTTGTTGTTTTATATTTGTTAATGTATTTAACTCAATTTGTGTTCTTTGAAATTGAAAAGGATATCTCGTTGTGTTTGTTACTTTCACACAGTGACGTCACGAGCTACCCACAATGCAACGCGCGCCACATATATATAAATACGCCATTTTCCTGGAGGTGCAAATATAAACAGCTAGCTAACGTAGCCAGGCAGAGCGCACTAGGTTTTTTTCCTGAATTAACGACCGAAGAAATCGCTGCATGTCTTCGGATTACATCTCTGGACTTGAGGGGTGTGCTCTTGGTCGTTACCAGCGTAAACTAGAGCTGTGTGGGTTGTCCGATTGCCCTTACAGACTGCTTGCAGATGTATGGAAAAACGACCCTCGAAAGTGGCCTTCGTCGATTTTGGCTGCATCTACGTCTATCTTCTGGAAACACCAGGTGAATACCCCACTTGTCACAATAATATTATCATGCCATTGCATATATGTGGTATTTTAGAGTTGACTAGATATTGATTAAGGCAATAGACTATGATATTCAGTACAGGAAGCTTAGCAACACCTAGACGGTGTACGGCTGCTTGCACCTCGCGTAAAATGGCAGATACCGGAAGTACGGTGTCGCCCTCGGCCCAATACCCGTATGTGTGTGTGAAAGAATATGTCTTAAGTGTCATTTGGCTTGGCTTCCTATTTTGTATGGACATGCTTTTATTTTGAAGGAGAGTTAGCGCTGTTGACAGGAAGTTGTTGTTGCTATGGAAACAACGTGACGGAGATTAATGGCGAAAAAGTAATATCTACATATAAAGACGGAGAAAGTAAATAATAACGTTTATGGTTAAGTGTTAGCACCCCCCGAAGAGGCACAAGCTCTTACGTTGAGATTGGAGATTTAAATAAAAGAATATCCGAATAACGAAATTGAAACCCGAATAGTACTCCAACGAACGAATATTCAGATATTCGGGTACAGCCCTAATGGAAGGTATCTGATACAGGTGCATCGAGCTCTTGACCAATCATACGATACGATAACACTTTAATGGTCAGATCAAGTCTGAAATGTGACTTGCATCACAGCAGCTCCATGTGTAACATCAACAGACTCATATCAACACACAATAGATGAGAAACAAACATTTAACATTTCATCACGATCACTGAGAGGAAACGTGGTCAAAGAGCCTTCAGCGTCTGATCTGTAGCTCTGTGTTCACTGAGAGGACTGACCGGAGCACAAAGGATGCTTCAGTCTGACTTTATTGATCTCAGATGAGATGGTAGCAGTTCAGATTCTCTGCTCAGAGCATGCTTTGGGTCCCAGAGGATGTTGTTGTTGGACAGCCTCGCTCGGTTATTATTATAATCAGATTGCTATTGCTGTCTTCAGAGCCGCTGTTACCTGTTCTGCGATGTAGAAAGTCTTGCTGTTGGTGTGCTGATGGAGCCACATGCAGCGATACGTCTCTCCAATGATGGGGTTATAAGGCTTCTTCAAACCCTGTGAATTGAAAACCAACAAGAAATATTAGTTCAATATATATCAAATAATGGTAACACTTTATTCGCCATCAATTAGTTGTTAATTAACATGAATATTAGCAGTATATTGGCTCTTTATTAGTCATTATAAAACACATATTAATGCCTTATTCTACATGACCATATTCTACAAGCACTTTGAATTGCCTTGTGTTGAAAAGTGCTATATAAATAAACTTGCCTTGCCTTGCCTTGCAAGTAATAAGCCATTAGTTGAGAGTTTGTGTCCTTAATAACCCTTTAATTAGTGCTTATTTATTGTAAGGAAGTTGTTGTACATGAGAGGGTCTTAATATGCTCAATATGGGCCTAATAAGGCATTCTCTCATAATAACACCTAACAAATATGGTCTATTCTTAAGTAGGGATGGGTATCGTTAAGGTTTTAACGGTACTACTACTTTTATCGATACCGCTTATCGACCCGGTCTTTTAACGGTACTCTTATCGGTTCTTTTGGAGAAAAAAAGAAGGTAAACTAACTAAACTAATTGTGAACAAAACTAACATTGCTTTTTATTTAAATTAAATAAATAATATTTCACATCAAAAGAAACAACAGTGGTATTAAATAATCTGATGACAGAATAGCTGAAACTTTAACTAACTAACTAACTCAGTTTCCTCTAATCATTAACCCATGCTTTGTATCATGGAGTTAACTCCGTGTGTTGCTGCTAGCATACATAACACCTGACGTGGAAACGTTACTCGTGGACGGGGCTACAGAGCTGCTAGAAAGACAGTGGAACCCGGTGCATTCCTCCGTCTGGATGTGGAGCACTTTTGCTAAATGTTTAGACAATTTGCTCGTGTTACCGCCGGTTACCGCCCTCACATGCTGAACTGTTATTGCACTTTAGGTAACGAGCATCGAGACGGGTAAAGTTTAACCACCTCGGAGCGCATTCTCTCCGCCATCTCCTCCGTGTGTGTGTGTGTTGCTGCATGTAGCAGCTGTGTGTGTGTAAACTGCCCCGCCCCCTCAGATCTCTCGTCTGGATTGGAAAGATCAAAAATACTAAAAAATAATCATAGACGCATTCTGCAGTCTTTTTGCGTATTAGAAACGGAGTTGGCGAAACTAAAACTGCAATATAATGTTTGTGTAGCAATAATACATACGACATATGTTTTAGATGTCTCCAGTACCGATCAAAAGACCGATAACGTCATAGCGTAACGGTACCACGGTCTTTAATAATTCAGCCCCGGAGCCCGTTTAATACCGGGGCTCGGTACCCCTCCCTACTCTTATGTAACAAGACGTGAAACTAAAAGTGTTAATTGTGTCAAAATAACTCAAAATGTGGTATCTCTCACTCAGAATAAGTTCCCTATTTTAAAGTGAAGTCTTGTTCATAACCAATAAGCTAGTAGTTTGACTCTAACATGTTAACGAACAACTAGTTGATGGTGAATAAGTGTACCTTAATCTAAAGTGTTATATATCAGTGTTATATCAATGACCTACAGTCTGTAGGTCATTGATATAAAGTGCATTTTTATACTCCTGACCTTTGGCTTTTTGTAAAATCCAGAGATATACCACTTCACCACCTTCTTCATCCGGTTGTAAGCGTTCTCTTCGATCGCAGCTCTGAGAATAAAACACATCCTTGATTACATGAACAGTTTGACTTTGATCTGCTTTTACAAAATACACTAGTCGCTGAAGTATCCACAGAAGTTCTTCACAGTAAGGAAGACATCCTGATTATTGTTTAATAACGTCTTCTAGCACAGAGGTTCCCAACCTTTTTTCCCAAGAGCCCCCCCAAATGACTCCTGTTGGAACAGCGGTAATTAAAGTTTAAAAGTCTCAAAATGCTACAACTACTGTCACAAACTGGATGAATGTGAAGTATTGTGTTAAAGGAGGGTGAAAGCGTAATTAAGGAGCACTATTGGAGAGACTTTGATGGTTATTGGACTCAGGATTAATTCATTTGGATTCCCGCTGTATGCAGAAATTAAAGGACGGCGCAGAAGTGGAACCAATTCACAAAGGGATTAAACTGTTTAAAACACATGCTCAAAGTAAGCCGGATT